TTACACTCCTCAGTGTCTATTGATTAAAACGAAGCCAGAAATCAAAGCAGCACTTCATCTGGTGTTGTGGTTTTATGGGATTCTGGATGAGCCATTATCTCAGAAACAGAATCTACAGTCAGCTGACTCCCTTGATCGCCGCAGCAGCAAGTTCTGATCAAGATTATCAGCGAGAGGGAATTCTTGCCCAACACAGAACAGCGGCTCGAGGCAATTACAAACTGGCAGCAAAGTATTTCTGTTCTAGTGCAATGGGATGACTCACAAGTTTCTATGTGATTAAAAGTTTAAAAAAAAGGAGAAGTAATGTATAATGTATTCCCACCACCTTAAAAACACAGTGATGTGCCAGGAAAAAAAGAAGAAACTGGGAGGGTGCATTGGCCTCAGGTTGCCCTGTTCAGGAAAATCCTGGATCCACCCATTTCACCTTTTGCCCATTTTTTTTGTTATCTGGTTTTTGTCTGAAATTGATTTAGAAATATTTGAGTCATCCTCTTAACAGTCAGACACACAAACAAACTAGAATGCCAGTGTGGAGCTCATACTCCCGTAACCTCTTTCTCTCTTCAAGGTCCATGAATTGTTCTCTGGGAAACATTTTAAACAAATCTAAAAAATCTCTTTTTCAGATCCCGGCCAAAATTGCAGGAGTTCTTTCTCGGTCCATGTCTTTTCCCTCCACCAAGTCGTTCAGTTGTTCGTGCGTAATCCTGCTGACAATCCAACCACTGAATCGAAAAAACAGACACAAACATGACCGACTAAGATTTAATTACTACACCAAAAAATGTGAAAATCCTGACCCAGCCGTTGTTACAACAGCATGCCCATGTTACTTGACACCTGATACGGACAGATAATCTCCACGGGCAACATGATGCACAAACAACCAAAGTAATACTGTAATGGACAAAGCAAGTGCCATGAATAATGAGTGAGCTCTCTCGAGCACTGGACTGGCAGAAAGGCCAGATGTCCAAACCTAATTCCAGTTTTGCATCATCTCCTCTGCCTTCTGCCCAACAGGCATCAAGCAACAACAAGCCTCATATCATTTAGTGCGAGCACGTCAAACTGCCTCTGGGAGACGGAGATGTGCCTGAGAAGTGAGAGATTCTCCTCTTAGAGGAGAATCATCAGACAGAGCTCTCTGGGTTCCTCTGTGCCGACACAGACACGATGGTTCTAGGTTAAAGGTCAGAGTCACAAATAAAATCCAATAATTCATGGATAATAAAGAAAAACTGATTTACAGCAATGATACCTATGAGAGTATTTAATTTGGCGACTTCTGGGTCTTGACAGACGTATCCACTAAGCTAAGTGGCGTTCTTGTTGAAATTGTTTAACTTTCTATTAATTATTCAGTCTGTGTCGCTCATGCAAAGACGGACTCAGTTAACTTCACTATTCCAGCTAAGAAAACCTGTGGAATGTTCCCAGAGGGAACGGGAGACAGTGGTGTGGAGTTACATTCACACTTAAGTCCTGATCAGTGTAACACGACCCTCGTCTGCTGGGAGCATTTTCCAGTAAAGATCGGAGTCTGTGCTGTCCGTCTGAAGCCTTTCACGCTGTCTCGCCCGCAACGTCACCAAGGGTCAAGTGTTTTCAACCTGAATCAATGGAGGCTGATGCTCCTCATACCACCATCCATAGATACCATTACTCTGTGTGTTCAGGGGCCGACACAGTTACCACGTCACAGAGATACTACGATCAGAGCTTCACAAGGCTGTGGTTCACACCACATCACAAAGAGCCATTTTGTCCCCTGTTCCACAAAATAAAATTCATCTGGAGCCGCCAAACATATTTGATAACAGCTTATAAAGTTGTATATATAGTTATACTATGACAAACATAGAATCATGTGTTCAGTTATTAATCGATGGATCATGTCTGCGTGTCGCTCTGGTCGTTTTATTACTGAGTGTTGTCTAGTTTTGTACGGAGCACAACACGTTGAGTTATTTTTCATGACGTTTAAATGAGTCTCATAAACTCTGGAATGAAACAGACACTGAGTGACTTCATGAACCGATCAGGTCCTTTTACACATAACATTTTAGAAAATCAATTTGGTGCAAGAAAAAGGAAAATGTGTTTATATCTGTAAGGGACACTGCTTCAACTGTGCTCTCTTAACCCTGCTTGAACTATGTTTCTTTAAAGCCGTGCGTTATCCTTGCCTGAACCGCTTACCCTTGAGACAAAGGCCGAGTTTTATCTGTGCTCAAAATCAGCTCTGCTCCATTCTCCACAGAGCAGAATAAAAACAAGGGCCAGGCACCGAACTCAATGTTATCTGAGCCTGGTACCACAATAGCCTCTTTTACACAACCTGCTCACGGCAGGAATGTTGGACAGTTATTCCACCTCAGCGTTTGGTACAAAAGGCACAAACACAGAATCAGCTTCTGTTGGTCATTTCTGCCGTGGACACCGATGTCTTCAATGCATCTTGATGTCCATTTGGTAAATTATGGTCCCATTTAGAGTCAAGCAGACGGATAAATCACTGTAGGCGATGGAGCGTGGATACCGTATGATTGACAGCTAGTATCATCCAATGGGTGAAGGTGGACGCGCAGTGTCCTCCAGCTCTCAGGCTCCACCCCCTGCTCCTCCAAATATGGTTAAATCTGGTTTCAAGAACAAACTGTGATGTCACAGTCTGTAAGCACGCGTAGCTTTACCCTTTGTCTTTTTGACAGTTGCAGAGAAGACTTGTTTAAAAGAGGCTACCTGCATTCAAACTATTGTTTGTGTCAGGCACTGTTCCGTTCTCGTCTGACTCCATGTCAATGTTCTGCCGACCTGGTCAGCAATGGGAAATATTCCTCCCTTTTCCTTCACCTCCTGAAATCAGTTTGATAAGCGAGTGTGAGGTTGGTCTCAGATTGGCTTTGCAATCACAGCGTCCAGCAGCGGGAATACATTTAAATGACAAAACATCAAAGTTATTCAAATCACAGTCGATCAGCAATCTCTGTTTTCATCCACTCATCCCGCCTTTGTGCCTGAAAGCTCCTGATAGTTACTGCAACAAGAGGCTGCTCTTTCCTTTTTAATCTATTGCCTTCTCCTTTCTGTCCATCTCTGTCTTTCAGAGACACACACAACCACACACACACACACATATAATCAATAGAGCCAGGCGGAGGACAGGACACACCTCATCAATATTGGAGTTGTGTTTGACAAAGAGTTTGTGGCTTGATTCTTCCCTTGTTTCTCACATGTTTTGCAAAGCCACCCTAACAACCCGCAGATACCCAGAGTGGACACGGCCATGACAACCAGCAGGAGAGATTAGCAACACTGGTCAGCACACAGACATCGAGAAACACTTAGATGAACACTAAGCCAGACGAGAACCAACCAACAAATGGAGACACACACACTTAGCATCTATCTACCATTTAGCAGTGGCTCATAACAGAGGCGCCTTTGGACAATTTGCTAGACGGAACATTCCAATTTGACACAAAAGCCTCATAACCATGCATCCTCACACAACACAGACACACACACAGACAAACTCTGACACACAAACCTAAGACACAAACACACACAAAGAACCCCAGGGATACACACAAGTCAAATTGGTAACTCATAAACACTCAGATGAGTAAACACAAAGCAACATCTCTCCATAAATATGCATAAATTCACACTCATGAGCAGAGACGAAGACAGGATTTCTGCATGCAAGGACGGATTATTCTGAATTTTAACTTACGATACATCTATGGACATTGTCACACTATCATAAAATTCAAATAAGAATTTTCAGTAGTACTCAAGCATGAGAAGTGATGAATATAAAAGGCAAATGTAAGATTCGTCATTTCAGGCCTGCAGCCCCCACAGCTGTTCCATAAAGTCAGAGCTCACCAGGAAATGTGTTTATTCATATTACGTCTATAAAACTGTCTCGTGGCCTGTAGATCTCTGGATATTTTTAACACCCTCCTCATTCTCTGTGAGAGCTGCACGACTGCAGAAGACACGAAGACGTGATAAGTAGGCCGAGCAGCGCTGAGCAAGTGTGGACAACAGGGTTTTGTCAGAAGGGTTTGATCACGACAATTTCTTTTATGTATGCATAAATGGCAATGACATATTAAGGCTCTAATCAGAGAGGGCTGAGTGTTTTAAACCATGAAGTGAGTTCAACTTATTCAGACTCTCTGGTTTATCTGCTTCACTGAGCCCATTTGAGCACAATGTCAAGATTTGAGGCCTCGGTCAGAGTCGGTAACCTCGTCATTGCTCTGAAAATGTTCGGGAGCAGCTCGCAAAAGTGTGAAAATTCTCCTGCTGTGACAAACGCAGTGCAGGCTGTGTGATCTACGTTATCACAAAAGGCAGCTGCAGAGGTGGATACAAAAAAAAAAAAAGAAGCTGCCTCCAAAACATAAATCACAGATGAGAAGCTGCAGAGGACTGACCTCTCTGTGGGAAACATGATCAGTGCCCACGGCAAAATTTCTCTCTCTGCAAAGAGGAAGTTCCCTCATGACCGGACCTTAAAAAGTCTTCTAACTCCCACTAAAGCTAAATCCTATATTATTACCATTTTACTGTGTGATACATTTATTCAGGCTTAAATATCGTTAACCCAAGAATGGGATTACTTCAACTACTACTTCATCTGGAAGCAGCGTGGTCTTACAACACCGCTGCTGTGTTTTGACAGCTTCACTGGTTAATATGTGATCATACAGATCATCGAAATATTACCAATGTTTTTAAAACAGTTTCAGATTTTCTTCCTTAGCTGACATTCCAGTGATGCATGTTTTGCTAATGTTCTGCTTCTTCTCTTCCAAAAGTGAAGTGAATCATGTTGGACGCATATTTAGATAAGTTTGGCTAAACGACCGGGTATTTCTGCACATATGTTTGTGTATATATGTGAGAATCCACGTGTGAGCAGACTGACGATGGGCACAGACAGCAGTGGGAAAAGGTGGTTTGTCTCGGCTTACCAAAGATATTAGTGGAATGTCCCTTCTTGGCGAGTGGCTTCAGCTCGTTATGACCCCAGCCGTACTGTCTGTAGCTGTCCCACGCATGTTTCATCATCTGCAAAAACAAAAATCAAAATATTAAAATAAGTACATCGGTATATTAGAATTTGCGTGTGACATCTCAGCAGCAGAGGCCACTGACAGTGACCCTGGTGCAGCACCGTAGATTGAACCAGTTCTGAGGGAAATGCCATTAACGTTAATGTGAGATCAAATTTAGTCTCAAACCACTTTTTAAAATGAACTCAAATAAATACTCAATTGTAAAAGTAATCAACACTCTTCACATGCTAAGGGTTTTCTTTTATTCATCGAACAAAACTGTGAGGACGACAATCCACCACAACGTACACGAGCACACAGACAGACACACACAGACACAGAATCACTGGCAGGACTGAAGTGAGGTCATGACCCTAAAGACTTTAATCTGGAAGACATGGCATCAGAGTTCACCCACACACACACAGTAGACAACATACAACTGCATAACACAATACTGATATTCAATATCGCATTATCTTTATGTTCCCCTTTAGTGCCTCCCTCTCTCTCTCTCTGCCTCGTCCTTGTGTCTGTGCACATTTGTCCGGCAGGTAAAACAAAATAAGATTGTATTCTTCATGTGACCTTTGAAACCAGGCTGCATGAGACGGGCTTGTGAAGGGGTTAGAGGAAACAGAGAGCAAGAGATTGCGAGATGAGCTCTGACATGGAGGCTGATGTTGAGAAGAGGCGCTGCGGGGCAAACCGGGAGGATGACAGAGCCAAGGAGGGAAGAGGCGCCAGTTTTTACCGGAGCAGCGCTGCTCTCTTTCACTGTCAAACCTTTTCCCCTCCTCCGCAGCCTGAACTCAGGTGGAATCCACAACCTCAGAGAAAGTACATTTACTGTCTTTCTGTTCATGTCAGTCACTCTATGGACATCTGTTGATTTACTTATCTATATTACTCTGTCCATCTACCTGGCAGCTCTCCCATCTGTCCCTCTGCCAGCGGCTCTCTCTCCACATGCCTTCAGCTCATCACATTATCTCAGTGATGACCTTCATGATGTTGGCACCGATGCCCTGGATCCCACCGTCACACAGTTGTTGGGTTTTTTGGGGTATTTACAGGGAAAATTCACATTAATAAACATTTCCATAAATTAGCCAGTTTAGTTAATTTTCAACTGTAGTCCCTGCAGCTACGAAGGAGCAATAAAATACATTATACCTTCTTATTATTATATGTGTTAATGTTTAAAAATAAAGCTTATGTTGAACTTCAGATTCTAAGGTTTTGAACACGAGGTTCAACCTTAAACGTTCTTAAAAGAGAAGAATAATAATGATTCATTTGTTGCATTCGATGCAAAAAGCCTCTTTAAAAAATGGAAAACATTTTCGCAAACAGTTCTGTCATTATTTTTCAAAGACTCACAGCTGAGACCAACTCCTACAAATTTTTAGAGGCTCTTTAAAAAGACTAAACCCATCTGCCAAGTAATAAAGCTTCACAAAAAAAAAATACAAATCTGAATTTCATTCATGAGCTGCCCAGATGGATCATCAATGTAAAAGCAAGGCTGTGCATCTGTTCCTGTGCAACTTTACTTCAATCTTGTTGTATCGTAAGGGATCCGTAGATTTCAGAATAAGACACATTCTTTGTGTGCAGGTGGATTAGTCGAAACAAACGGTGGCTTCCTGCTGGAGAAACATTCCCCAGGACTTGGTACCTGTGTTTCCACTGGGGGAGCCAGGTTTGAAATCAAGTTCTGGGGAGATAGTTGAACAGATTGTCTCTGGGTATCAGCTCTGTGATCAACCGGCGACCTGTTCATGGTTTACTCCGGATAAGTAGTAGTCCTACAGATAATTGTGGGTAAGGGGGTGGATGGGTGGGTCGATGGATAGATGGAGATACTTTAACCCCCCAAAAATGCCCCTGCTCTAGGTGTAGTACTTTAAAGTGCTGAACTGTGCTGACTGGTCCGGCACCATCACGTGTTCTGCAGGATTTTTAACATCGTTGTTTGGATTTTGTGGCAGATAATAATCAAGCAGGAGCTGCCCGAGAGATTAATAAACACAAAGCTTCACATTTCATGCTCCAGTGTCGTGCAAATAACACAGAGAGCAAAACACCATGGTTTTCAGACATCAGCCGACTAACTGGCGTAATGTTCCTGAGCAATTGGCTGTGGAAACGTAAATGACAATTCACTGGGGGAACTTTCACCACTGGGAAGGTTTTCTGGACATTTGAACTTTTGTTGAAAAGCACCTTATTTAAGAAACTGGCAAGCACAAGTCACGGCACACATGAACTTAACTTATCTTATCTCTCCAGCAGAGCTATGTTCTTCCCTGCCCGCCTACCTGCTTGCCTCTTTATGCCACCATGTGTGGATCAGTATCCAGACACTCCTTCATTTCTCTTTCTCTCTGGAGCCAGCGGACAGCCAAGCTAATAAAGATAAGGGCCAGGAGTTTCTTTGTGTTCTTAGCCTCGTGGCTTTCCATGACGCACTTCATCCACACAGTGCAGCTTATAAATAACATTATTACACATCATGACACTGACACTTCAGCATTGGCTCGCTCCTTCTGATCTGTGCTGATCGGATGCTTCATTAAATTTTGATTGGCCCATATACGAAGGACAAGCTGCACAGTGCAGGTGGTTGACAACGTTGACCAACGGCTTATTTAAAGGACCTTGGAATACTAACTGGACATCAAGCTACTAAATTATGTGATTGATTCTGACAGCCAGCTCTTGCCCTCACAGCATCGTGACAACCACAAGTACAGGAGCAGGAAATGACGGCTTGTTTTGGTAAAAAGTGGCTGGTTATTCTCACAGTTAGATCCACGCCGAAGTAGCAATTACAGCAAAATTAGCCTCACAGGCTTCAGGGAAAAACTTTACCATGAAAACTGAGTCAATGGTTCCATGTAAGGTTGCTATTACTGCCAAAATCATTGACCGTTATCAGCCAGGTCTGTTTTCGCTCACCTTGTGGTTTCAGAGCCTGTTTGGTAAAAGTGGAGCAGTTAGGAAATTCTGTTCAATGATGCATCTTCCTGTTCGGCATGTTCAGACACAAGCCATTAAATAAAATGCTATTAAGAGCTCGCCTGGGACGAGCTTTCCAGGGGAGAGGCAACGGCAATGACGGGATGGAAAAAGGAAAATAAAACTCTAAATGTCACACCAGGAAAGCGAAAGGAACGCTTCAATAGCATTTATTATCAGAAGACTAATAACCATGGTGAGGATTTTCTTTTCAAGTGGCTTATGTAACCATGATTTTCCAGACAAACTATCCCCGGCCACAATGTCAATTTGCCCACACACAGCGACAGGATGCGGCTTCAAATGTGGAGTGCCAACGCTTAGCAACAAATGTGAATATGGACTTGACAAGAATGGCTAAGAAGCCTCCATGTTTCATTGATTGTGCTGCTCATTGTAGGAACGGTTGAGTTTCTCTGTCATTGCATCGGTTTTTAGTTGTGACTTTGAGTGTGTTTCAAATGCCAGAGACTGGAGGCGTGGTGGACCTTCGTCATCATCAGTCACATGTTTACTCGAACGTTTCAATTAGAGGTCCAGTCTCACCCACCTGCCCCGTTCCTACAACACCGAAAACATCTTACATCTACATCGGTTCCCAACAACAGGTCATTTCTCAAGAGCTGTACTTCTTTTCAGCTGTTTCCAAGCAACTGGGGAAAATATTTCACCCCCCTTGAGACTGGGAAACCACCAATGCTCTGAAAAAAATAAGAAGAAACTACAACTCACCAATTTGCAAAGGCATGGGCTCTTGCATACAGTCAATACATGGACAGCCGTGTGTGCAGTTTCTTTAATTAAGTTAAGAATGACATTTTAGTCAATAGCAATGCTGGGATACAGAGGGTTTTTCCATTTTAACTAAACACCCCCATGTGAGCAGTTTCTCCCCCCGAGTTCACTGTTGTTCTGCAACAGTCAGACACGCTGGTTAAAAAGTATTAAAACCACCACTTCATTAGAATCTGACCTGCTTTATTAAACATTCCACTGTTTCCAGTCCCTGAGGCACAAACGACTTCAACACTGACTTTGGTAAAAACACTGAAAAATGTTCATGTGGACAAACTTTTCTTTCAGCAGAAAATGCAAGATGATGATATGAAATATATTGAAAACACTTAAAATGAAAAAGAGAAGAAGACTTTACACTAAGTGGCTTGTCTTAATATTCTACATAATAAATCATTAGCATACTTTGAATATTGGAGTGTATATATATTTATATGTATACTGTACCTCCCTGCGTATAATAGTCAATTTGGGTATGAAAAGTCTGACATGGATCAGAAAACTCCAACCACCACTGACCTCATTTACCACAAGAATCATGTCAAACAGAACAGAGAGAGTCTACGGATGAGGGACACAAAACTCAAGTCGAGTGCTGAAAACAAATCCCATACTCAGAGACTGCGAGAGGCTTTTCCCCGCGGCACACGATACGACAAAGACGAGAGAAGATCGAAGGGGATAACAGCTGATGTTATGACTTACATCTAACAGTCAACACAGTCAAATGTACGGGTATTCATCATGATCTGGATCTAAACGGATCTCTATCAGAATATGGGAGTTAAGACATATTGTACAGCCCTATGGGATGTTGTTTTAATTGAAATATGAAATAAAGTGAAACCCATGTTTTCAACCTTGTCTAAAAAGCATTTCCCACTGTATCTTTAAACAGATGCATGGTTACTGGCTGTGGAAAGTCACTGCTGTGCTTGGCCTGTTAATGACGTCGGGCACAGTGTCAAGTGTCGCCCATGTTTGCGGACCTCCAGGTGACAGGAGAGGATGATTGGATCATAACCTCGGGAATGTAATTATCTGCATATGAATGCAACACGTTCTAGTTACTGTTCCTAATATTTTGGTCAGTGTTGGTTGGTTAGTAAGATAGTGTTGCTGGTTTAAAATGTATAGCATCTATTACACTGTATACCTACAAATAATAACTTATTGTGTAAGCTGATCATTTGT